GGCCTCTGAGAGTTCTTACCGGCCTATGAGGGGCCAGTTCTAGGGGCATTTCCCGCCTGTGATGGTCACACACTTATTTTTCCGAGGGTCCCATAACGGCAACTGAGGGGGCCCTCATCGGCGCCTAAGAGGGCCCACACCGGTGTCTCTGAGCATTTCACACCCCCAACTCTGAGTGCCTATACCAGTGCTAAAGCCCTATATCGGCGGCTCTGAGGACCCAACAGTCAACACCTGCGCATCTAAAGGCCACCCACTGGAAACTTTGGAAGGCCCCACACCGGTTACTCTGAGCCCTGAGGGCCCCACCGGCGTCTGACAGTACCATGCCGGTCTCTAAGGACCCCACAAGACTTCTTCTACCGGCCTAAGGGCCCCGTGCCGGTCACTGGTTGGTTTGTAGTTCCTGTTGGGTTTCCCCCTGTTGGTTTGTATAGGGTTCGCGTCAGCAGCTCTAAAGACCCCACACCCGTCTGTAACGGCTCCACACCACACCAGCGTCTATGAGATCCCAGAGCAACGCCTGTAAGGACCCTCACCGGCGCCTCTGAGAGAATCACACTAGCACCTCTGTGCGCCCGAACCGGCACCTGCATCGCGGCCCATACCAATGCCTCTAAAGGCCCCTTACCGGCGGCTCTGAGGGCCCTATACGCCGGTGATTCTGAGGGTGCTACCGATAACCAAATGCATCAGACAAGCCCTTAGTGTCGCTGAGCTTTAATCCCATAGATACCGGCCTTCCGAGGGCGCCACGTCAGTGCACTCATTGCCCCACACCCCTCCCTCACACCCGGAGCGGGTAAACTGTGTTATACCTATATTATAGCAACGATTTTACCACCGTTGTACGTTATATATTTCTCAAAGTTTTCTCAAAATGGTCTAGTATAAAATCTGGCCTGCCAAACTCATGGCCAAGGCCAGGCCCAAACCAAAGCGGGGTGACAATAGCAGATGTTGTGAAATCGATACTGTATCAGCAGAAACCATTCAGATGGCTGGGAAAATGCCGTGTGATGTTTAGATGGAAAACAAGAAGGAAAGAAGTCCGGAAAAGGGAAGAAAGATCCTTTCACGCTGCCTCAATGTTGAGGGGGCGCCGCCCCCTCGGCTCTCAAGTTGGGGGGGCAAGCGCCCCCGCTGCCCCCCCTGTTCCCGGGTCTATGTTTTCTTGGGTCGAAAACGGCAAAATGACGTCACTCTGACGCCATTAGCGGCCAACCTATCCAAAGGCGGATCCAGCTCAGTTTTTTTTGGGGGGGGGGGGGGCAAACCATAACAATTTATCGATTCTTTCCATGCCTCGTCCATAGGCGTAATGTTAAAATTATGCCGTTGGGGGGGGGGGGCAAATGCCCATTTTACCCCCTCCCCTGGATCCGCCACTGACCTATCATAGCCTTTGGAAAATTTTTTGGTCACAATGTGCAATAGTTATTAACGGGAGGGTACTGAAAGTTTGGTGACGATCGGCGCAGCGGTTCTGGAGATATATCGATTACCGATGCGTATGCCAAAAATTAAATTATGCATAGTGTGCAAAATATTATGCAAAAAATTACCGATGCGTTTTCGCCGTTATTTTGGACGTGCTTTCGAATGCTTTCCACGTGTCGCTACGTGGCCCGGGACATAGAGATCTTATATCTTATATATGGCCCGGGAGGCCAGGGAGGCCAGGAGCCGAGCTAGAGGGGGTTGTTCCCCCCCCCCCCCAGCTGGGCGTGGAAATTCAGAACCCCCAGCGGGACGCGGTTTTAAAAGTCCGTTTCTGAGCATTTTGCAGGGGGAGAGTCTAAAGCAAGATTCTTATACATAGGCGGCGGAACGATTTGAGACAAGGGGGGGCACCATGGCTCAAGGAGCCAAACCTAGGGTACCCCCAAATCCTGTTTTCTCATCGGATTTAGGCCACTTATTTTTCGTCACAGCCCTGACACGATGATTTTTTTTTTTACTAAACGAAAATTGCAGTTCACCCCCGTATGCAGGGGTGTACCTAATTTTATATCTCTTTGTGGGGGCATATGCACCCACAATCCTGAATTATGCCCCCACAATGATGAAAAAGCACCCACAAGTCTTTTACAAGGCTGCAAGCGTCCTTTCGAGAGCACGGTGCCCTTCGCATGCTCTAACGGCGTCCTCCTAACCGTCTCGCGTTCATGTACCGGGGTTACATGAGCAAGTAAATGCGTATCAGGAACGGATTTTCCTATTCGCTCACCATTGTAGTCCGTTTGTAATGCGTATTAACTCTGCTCATGTAACCCCGAGCATGGATAGCGTTTTTAATCATCACTCGGCGCCCTTCTGGGAGAATGGCGCACTTTTGACAGCACCGCGCCATTCTCATGGTCTAACGGCGCCCTCCTGACCGTCTCGCGTCCTTAGGTCTCTGTTCACCGTGCATCCCTCGACTATTCGGCGCCCTTCTGGCCTCTCAGCGCCCCTGAACCACATATAGCGTTTTCAATCACTCGGCACCCTTTTACGAGAATGGCGCCCTTTTCATGATCTCAAGGCGCCCTCGTAACCATCTGGCGCCCCCACGTCCCCACCAACGTAGCACTACTGACTGTGCGGCGCCCTTCTGGCCTCTTAGCGCCCCTAGACCACATAGCGTTTTCAATCACTCGGCGCCCTCCTAAGAGAATGGCGCCCTTTTCATCGTCTCACGGCGCCCTCGTAAGTCGTAACCGTCTGGCGCCTCCACATTTGGTGCCCCTCCTACCGGATGGCGCCTCTCTACATATTTTTTACGTCCTTCCGGTCAGTTTCCACTTTTAAGCGTGTACAGGGTGTCCAAAAAGTAAGGTCATCATTTGTTTTGGCCACACTGCCAAAAATACGCGATGGATAGATATAAATAGGACATCATATGAAAGAGCATTATATAAAATTTTATTCTGACATACATATGAGTCAATACATTGGCTCGTAGCCCCACATTTGCTGCTTTTCTACATGGCCGCCATTTCGGGCCGCGTGCATGAATAGTCTACGTTTGACTTCCTCCACTATTCTGGAGCGATTCTCTGGTGAGATGCCGCCTATGTTTGCTCGAAGGGATCATCCTTTAGTTCTTCCCGGCTCGTTGGGTTGTCCTAAAAGACAATCTTTCTGTTGTGTATCCAGAGAATAAAAATATGAAGGTGTAACGTCAGGTGACCGCGGAGGCCATTCAATGGCGTTGCCCTGACTGAAAATTACGGGATCTCACATCCACTCTCGGAGACAATGCATGATCTTCAGGACGGTGCAAGCATAGTCTCCATCCTGCTGAAACCACTGCTGGCTGATGGTGTCGGCACAGCTGCGTTGCAACGAGCGGAAGAACCACTGGGAGGACTCTCGGCCACCTCTCTTGATTTATTGTCACCAGATTCCCGCTGTAGTCCTCAGGACCTCGAAGCACAGGTGGCTAAGTATATATGCCCTGTGCGTACATTATACCTTTTTTCTGACGTTTTACCGGTTGAGGCGAAACTATGCATGAGTTCAGAGATAGGGCGAGCTGATAGGGTCTGCTTAGGGCCGAAAACTGGGCGGCATTTACCCTTTGTTTTAATGACGGACCCTCTCTAAGAGTTGAATTTCGACCTTCTCAGTTTTATGTCTACTGCTCGGTGTAGTTATGATCAAAAATGGTTTAAGCATGCAAGAAAATAATTTTATGGATGTACCTTGCACGTGTTAAAATTGGAAGTGATTCGGACTCTTACTTCTCGAGATATTTAAGTTTTAAATCATGACCTTACTTTTGGGACACCCGGTATTTGCTTAGTCAGACACGTCACTTGAAGCGCCATTCGGCTAGCAATGTTATCAAATTCGGTGTTAATTTAGGCTCCCACATAAAGAATATCTATCGCGCCCCAAAACGGCCTGGCGCCGGGCGCCCCTACAGCTGGGCACCCACAATCATTTTAGGAAAATTACACCCCTGCCCGTATGTGTGGTTAACTTTAAGCTGATCCTCAAGTACCTATGTGTTTGTCTCTTCCTTATTGTCGTTTGATAAATTCCATTTATCCTACATGTATAATTCCCAAGAAGCCATCGCAGTACTAATCAGTGGCGAATCCCAGGGTGGAGGTCACATGTGTCATGACTTAGGGCCTGGGGTCACCACATGCCTGCCAGGAGCACCACAGGCCTGACAGCCGACAGGGGCACCACAGGCCCGCCAGGGGTGCCAAAGGCCTAGCAGGGGCACCACGGGCCTGTCAGTGGCACCACAGGCCTGTCAGGAGCACCATCGGCCTAGCAAAAGCACTACAGGTCTTCCAGGGGCACCACAGACCTGCCAGGGGCACCAGAGGCCTGTCAGGGACACTATCGGCTTCGCAGGGGAACCACCGGCTTCTCAAGGGCACCATGGGCCTGTCAAGGGCACCACAAGCCTGTCGTTGGCAATTTAGGATTGTCAGAGGCACCACAAACCTGTCAAGGGCACCTACGTTCTAACAGGGGCACCACAAACCTGCCAAGGCCCAGGGACACCACATGCCTAGCAAGGACACCACAGGCCTGTCAGGGGCACCACGGGCCTGTCAGGGCCCATGGGCACCTAAGTCATGTCAGGGCCCACCGTAGGCTTGTCAGGGGGCAGGGTAGGTAGGTACCACAGTCTTTCCAGGGGCACCAGCGGCTTAGCAGGGGCACCAGTCATCACATGACTAACCAAAAATAAAGCAAAAAAAAACTGAAAATAGGGCACCACCAAAATTAAGTGGGCGAAATCCGTTGAGGTTTTAATTTTGGGCATAGGTACTAGGTAGGGGCACCACTTCGATTCATGAACCTCCCCTTTCCCGAATTTGCCGAGTTTTCCCGAATCCGCCCCTGGTACTAATACATCAAATTTAAGGGGGGGCACCTTGCTATTGGTGCCCCCCTTGCAGAATCCAAGGGGGGGCACGGTGCCCCGGTGCCCCCCCCGTTCCGCCGCCTATGTTCTTATAGTGTAAAGTCCAAATGCCCGATTCAATTATATTTGTTTGTATTTTTCTGTTGGAATTAGTACGCCTTCGCTAACGCTTACAATCATGACGCGCGTGCGACGTTTACGAATTATCACTAGAGACGCACGTGCGCAAAGATCACAACAGTCAGTGAACGGGAAATAATTTATTGGATCAAGTAAATAAAAGTGAGCCGAGATAAACAAGTACATAATCAGGGCACCCTTTGATCGTGCACCTTAGAAGTGAAGTCCAAAGGAACAGCAACAGTGTATATAAATAGGAACAGTAAGGTGCAGACTGCACTGCAAGGGGACCAAGGAAGACTGAAGTCAAGTGGGGTTTGAATGCAAATGCAAGAGCAAAGCTGAAGCATTTAATCCTATTTCGCTAAAGCAAAGGATAAGGTGAGATAGACCACAACCCTGTGAGAAAGCATCTGGCCAACTTGAACTTGTTTAGGTTGTGAAATATGAATTGGATAGCCTACCTGCTGCAACAATTACAATTACCCTGTGCCAGTGGAGTTTTGTTCTTCAACCAATAGGTATTGATATTGCCAAATATGAGGGGAGGTTGATAACATTTACTGGCAATGAACTAGACTGTGGAGCATGAAATGGGAAGGTTATCACGGGTGAAATCCTGCACTGGCTGATGGAGCAAACATAAGCATTTTATTGAAGTCATGCAAAGTTAATCATGGGCACAAAAGAGCTTGAAATAATTGGGTAATAAGAATAGGGAAATTTAGTTGTTTGATACCCATTATCTGATCTCTCCATAGGTAGTTCAACAGCATCACCAGGCACCATGGGTAAGACGGTGAAGCAACGCAAGAAGAAGCAGTACATGTACAATGTCAACCGGCGGAAGGTGCAGCAGAAGAGGAAAAAGAAGCTGGAGCCCAGGATTCCCTGCGAGGCTATCCGAGAGGCCTGGGACAGCAGAAAACACACCAAGGCTAATCTTGAGAGCATGGGACTCGCCTTCAAGGTAGGTTACGTGATGAGCAGCAAGAGGATAGCTATGCATTACCTAGGTGTCTGTTTGGGTTTTCTCCAATTTAGTGTGTGAAAAAGAGGAACTCACTTTTGGAAAGTGTTTGGTGGGATGCTTTCTTTGTTATGGGAGCTTTGTTGGATATGCATCAACTGTCAAGATATTGTAAAACCTAACATGCACTGTAAATTTTGCAGATATCTTACCCATGACAAACAACAACACAGCTTAACCACTATGTCAGCATTTTGTAGGTACAACCTGCCTTCCTAATGCACAGATTGTAACACTGGTATCGTCTATCTCACAGGTGAACGCGGTACTGCCCGTACCACCCACGTCCTCCTCCGACCAGACCTCCACGGCCGGCCCGGCCCGTCGGCGGCCGGTCACCCGACCAGAGGTCGTCTCCAAACTCGAGGCAGAGGCTAACCGGCCGCGGGAGAGGAAAGTCCGTCTTCCCACCGCTCAGGTCCGCCTCGTGGAACATTTTCTGGACAAATTTGGTGACGATTTTGTCCGAATGGCGCGATCGGAGAGGAATCACTACCAGCTGACGCCGAAACAGATCAGACGGCTCGTGACGAGGTTTTGGGATATACCCGAACACTATACGCCGTATATGAAGAGGAAAGGCATGTTGGAAAAGCCGACAGTGCCTGAGGGGGATGAGGATTGATGTCAGGGAAGGGGAGGAAGGTTTGTGGAGGGGGGGGGGGACAGTGCTTTTTGGGTAGGGAGGTGAGGTGAGGCGCGTTAGAAAGGTCGTGGAAATGGTGTCACTGACTTGTGGAATGGAGGATGCGTCTAGTTTGATTGGAGGCACCGACCATATTCATCAAATAATTACATAACGTTTGAAAACGATGCATGTGGTCTTTAGTGAGCTTTCCTGCCGCCAAATGCTGTTTGTGGACAATTTGACATCACCTCGGACATAGACCTCTCTATGCCTTGGAAAATAAATTCATCATTTGTTCTGTTTGGGATCAAATGTCTATTAGAAGCTGGTAAAATATAACTGAAAGCTCACCTTCTATCTGTGACGGTCAACGTAAAGTGCACGGGACTGCGGCGCTCGGCGCGTAAGACTGATCGCTGATCGGTCGGTGTATCGGCAGTGTGCGTGCCGTTTACCGGGACGTGCTAGTGCGACCTGCCAGTTGTCACCAACTCTGTTGTACTTCCATGGTGTTTACATTGTCGTAGTATGCTACGCGCGTCTCAATATACTTCAACAGATAATAATAGCTTTGCTCCTTTGTCATTATTTTTTGGTACAAGTCCCCACATTTGTTGAGCTTTGTATGTGCAATGGTCTGAAACTTGGCGGAAGTATGAGGCAGGAAGGTGAGGGGTGAACTACTAAAGCCTCTTGTACTCATACAAGAGGCACATGCGTTCGGAGAGGCACATTCTATGTGGAATCCGTGGAAAATTCCATGCACGCGGAATATTCACGGAGATACGCCTCCGAACGCGGCACGGGAAATATTCCCGGAGCCGGTGAATATTCCATGTTCTTCGAACGCACCACTAGATCCTGCTGCACCGCACCCCCACTAAAAAAACTATCGCGAGTTCTTTGTTCTCCGCATGGCACAATTTGATAAATTGGTTGACCTTTTACCAGTTGGATACCATTGGAAACCACAGCAGGCAGCTCGGTCAATACTGCCTGTCCTGAATGGCTTCCTGCAGTCTCGCAGTTGACGTCAATAGGCCGTTAAAAGATAATTATTATTTGAAAGGTTCACATCAATTATGTTAACAGCATAAAGCATGTTTAATTGACCGCATGCAACCTACGTCACACTAAACAAAATAACTTAACGGTCATAACGGTAAACGGGACGAAACCAAACGCGGCATACCGATTCAAATATATTCAAACCTTTGATAACAACCTCAGACATTCTATTCCACGCTGACCTGTGCTAGTGTGCTGGTAATGCTCTCAACCCGCTTCCACTAGAGGCCAAAGCTTGTCCAAGCCCACAACAGATGGCAGCACAGTAGCTGAAAAACCGCTCACAAAAGTATCTCATATCAGCGACCACCATATCTCACACACTCTGAAAGGTGAAAACAAAAATCACACTCCCTGGGATCCATCCAGTACGTCACGACACCAGCGCCACGGTCACATAGTGGCCAGAATGTGAACTTCCAGTGTCCGTTCCTCTCCATAGGTGGCGCTGTGCTACCTGAAGCCCGGCACGTGCAGCTCTGGCGACGCGAACAGTAGCTTCCTCTGCGGTGGTTCGGTCGGCTGCCGGGAGGGGGCGTTATGTCAATAATCAACGAGGTAAATCGTTATTTCTAGCGTCAATTCCTCTGACGCCTGGTGAACTTTCTAGTTTCTACTGTTAGCTCCTCCACTGATTTTTACTGTTTACTTTTCTTTAGTTTCCGGTCGTCAGCGAACACTGCACCCGTCCGTCGTTTCCAGCTTCAGGACATTCAAATCGTTCTCCTCCACGCCGCAGCCCTCGTTCCGCGCTGGACAGGCATCTTTATCTCAAGCGGGCTGCTCCCTACTTGGGGGGCTGGTCAGCCTGTCCTTCGGGACGGGCTGAGCCCCGGTGACTCACTAGGGTGCCTGCCCAGACCAATGTGTCCCCCTATATCCTATCATCCTCCCGGCTTTGAAATAGTCTTGTCAGACCGAAAGGCCCTAACCCCACAGAGCAAAAAAAAAAAAAACACTTAGGTCTTGTCAGACCGAAAGGGCCTAACCCAACAAAGCAAAACAAACAAAAACAAATACAAACAAACGTTCACTACCGTCTCACCTGACTGGCTTTATGCAGCAGTTTGAACAGCCCGGTACCCAGTGACGTGGGCATGCCCATGATGATACACTCGGATACGCCCGTGATGACGTCTTTTTGGCCGTAGTAGGCGGCGTCGAACAAGTGGTCCGAGGTCTTCTCGAACTGGGGACGATTAGAGAGTGGAGTCAGTCATGGATGAATGAGTTTGTCGAGCGCTCATTTTGAGAGAAGGGGAAACATTTGTTAAAACATATAACGTGATGCTCAACAGTTTTACGAATACCTTAAAACCGTTTATGATTGACATCACTGGTAGAATAATGCCAGTCAATAAAGCTAAGATTCAGGAACCAGCGGCGTATTTAGAAAATCGCGAAGGGGGGGGGGGCAAGGGTTTGGAGGGCGCCACCTCACCCAAGGAGGGCGCCATACGGTCGCGAGATAAAAAATCGCTCAGTGGGGGTTGGGGGGTTGGGAGGCGTTTTTTACCATGCCACCAGTTTTTTTTTGCGTAACCTCGTATAGGTCGTGCTGCATTGATTTTGCATCGTGTGTATTCTTTATACTTCAGGTCACAAAAGGTCAAGTGTTCTTGAAATGCTGCGCCGAAGGCGCGCGAAATTTTTGAAAACAACCTTTTCCTCCGCTTTTTAGGCACGCCATTTATCCGATCACTGTTCAAAGCTCCTCTCGCTCTTTTACCAATTTTGAAGGTGTAAAAAATACCTAAGGTTTGGTCGGGCCGCTGCCACACAAACTGTACAGAAAGCTTGGCTCATGGGTGTCGATGTATAAAAGTTTATTGGCGGTGGCATATCTACGCACCAGATCACCGTATCGGATTGATACCGGAGCGCGAGATGCGTAAACATCATCCAAATTACCTCAGACCAGCCTTCATAGCCTTCTCACAGATGCATAGTGTACCCACATAACCAGTTTCAAAAGTACGTCGAGTATAAAGTACGTATGGAATAAGTACGTCAAGGACGGAAGTAGGCGTAGGTATCGCAGAGGTAGGTACGTACAGTACAAAGTACGTATACCTAGACAAAAGTACCTACGTCAAGGAAGAAAATACGCATCGAAAAAGTACGTAAATTATAAAGTACGTATATCGCTAAGCATAGATGTCGCAATCGGTCGCAACTACAGCGAGACATGCAGTGCAAACGGTAGCAGACAGCAGTAGTTTCCCCTACCAAAGTGGTGGTTTTCTACCACAGACGCTCGTCGAGGTCGGAAATTCCAAATACGCGTTTCAATCATACCCTGTTTCAATCACCGAAACTTCAGATGCCTGCTGTTGCGCCCGAACCTGTTGACAATACTTAATCGTAATCCATATAGATGCCATGATGCACGTAAAGTAGGATCAATCCGTTAAGACCAAAGACGTGTTTTATGCATCGTAGAGCGTAGATAGTTTTGGTAGGTACCTATAGATACTTCATTCATTGTGCTGAATGCACGTTCATTTGTGGCAGTTTTCACAGGCAAGCCATCAACTATGTGCAATAGAACGACTAAGTTGAAAAACATGCCAAAGGAGTAAATAAATGATAGGAGGGCAGCGATCAACGGATGTTGCCAATAGGTAGAAGGGCTGCGATCCACAGGAGGGCACTAATAGGTAGAAGAGCCCCGATCAACATCCCGAGTTTCGACAGTAGGGCACCGATAGGTAGGAAGTTGGCGAGCAGCAGGAGGGCGCCAATGGATAGAAGGGCAGCGATCAACAGGAGGGCACCAATAGGTAGGAGGGCGCCGATCAACAATCAACAGGAGGGCGCCACCAGGTAAGAGGGTGGCGAGGAACAGGAGAGCACCAATAGGAGGGTGGCGATCAACAAGAGGTCGCCAATAGGTGGGAGGGCGGTCATCAACTGGAAGTCGCCAATGAGCGGAAGGGTGACGATTAAAATGGGGGTGGCAATGGTGAGGAGGGCGCCTTTGCTCAAGAGGATGACACGAACAGGAGGGCGTCTGTGCGGAGGGCGCTGGTCAACAGGAAGGTGCCAGTGGATAGGAGGGCGGTGATCAACAGGAGGGTGCCAGTGGTTAGGAGGGCGGCGATCTACACGAGGGCGCCAATAGGAGAAGGGCCCCGATTAACATTCAACAGGAAGGACTAGGGAACCAATAGGTAGGAGGGCGGCACTGAACAAGAGGGTGCCAAAAGGGAGAAAGGCGGCCTTCAAAATTTCACATGAGGGCGCAATAGGTAGGAGAGCGCCAATAATTATGAGGACGCCGATCAGCAGAAGGGCGGCAATGTGTAGCAGGGTGGCAACCTACAGGAGGGCGCCTTCGGGTGAGAGGGCGCTTATTTACAGGACAGCGGCTTACATAGGCGACCACCGTTACGCTTAGAGAGCTACAGCCTACAAATGTGGTTGGAGGGCGCCCGAGGGAGCCCTCCAACCGTATTTGGAGGGCGTATTTGGAATGGGCGTCCTCCGAGGGCGCCCTCCATCCGTATTTTCCCTGTAAACACATTCGCGATTGGAGGGCGCCCTCCAGTCGCGATTGTTTTTCGATTCGATTATATCACAATCGCAAAGGGCGCCTTCGGCGCCCAAGGGGGGGGGGGGGCATGGCCCAGTGGCCCCCCCCTGCCTACGCCCCTGTCAGGAACGGATGTGTGTGGAAGAGCTATTTCCCTCAGTTCTCAAGCATGCTTGAAATTTGGTGTTTAATACCGGTTTCACACCTGATTAACGCTTAATATCCCCACAACATCCCTTTCCCGTATTAGGCAAGACAGTGGACATCCCTCTCCACTCTAAAATTTAGACAACAGCAAACCCTTTCGCCTTAATGGTAGCTAACACGGCCCTACCCCCTTCCCCGCTCCAACCCCCTACTCACCGAGGCCAGCATGAGCACGCTCTCCTTCATCTTCGCCAGTCCATAGCGGGTGATGCCGAGCACCTCACCCCTCGAGCACATCAGATCGGCCAGCAACATCACGTGCCGCCTATCTATAGACATGCCGTGTGATTCCATCGTATACTGGATCTCGTGGATGATGGTAGACCTCGCCGCCTCCACACCCAGCGTCGTGAACACCTCGTGAGTGTTGTTGGAGCTTGTCGCGGTTCCTTTCACCCCATACGTTGCCATGACCTCACGGAGGTTGTTTCCCTCGACGAACAGCTTGTAGCGGGGAGCTCCCTTGCTATCATCAATGGCAATAATCGCTCGGGCGACGGACGGGAGACCTTTGATGACCACGCCCGGGAGATGCTCCTTCAGACTCTGAATCTGGTAGTAGAGGGATGACGATGATTTTCCCGTGCCAGCGCGCACTGTGATGATTGTATCACTCTCCACGGTGACCGAAGCAGGGCGGGTAGGCAGGCGGGCAGTGCAGATGCTGTACCGGATGGACTCGGCGTCCACCTCGAGTTTGAGCAGTCGGATCCGCTCTGTGTCCAGTTTGATGAGAAGGAAGGTGTCATCCGGCAGGT